TCTTGAAATTATTTTCTAAAAAAAACACCTGCCTTTAAAAATAGACAAGGCTTATCAATTTTAAATGTATTTTCACCTTTCTTAAACTGTATTTGGCGAAAGCAAATAATTGACGTGCTTTAATTTTGAAGGTGAAATTGACCGTAGAGTGCTTCCGGTGGTGCAGCTGACGCATTTCAGGTGTTGTGTCGAAAAAAGCCCCCCGGGTAATTTACTCGTTGGCTAGCAACGCTCTGGTCAGCTTAGTGTTGACTAAAGTATCATAATTGCAGGTAAATAATATCAATCTTCATGTATCGCTTTAGGAAATACGTTATTTTTTTTCTGAGAGACGTTTATTAATTTGAGTTTTGCATTTGAAGCTGGCATGCTAAGAGGATGCTAACAGCAGGCCACGCTTCCTCATCATTATAAGAGGAAACCGCGTTATCTTTGTTAGCAGGCTAACAACACCAGCTAAATATGTTTACAATGGAAAATATAAATAATCAACGCTATGTTTATTTTGGCATTAAAACCTTATGTTAATTATCAGTAAACTTAGTTATACATTTATGTAAATCCACGCAAGTTTAAAATGTCAGCAACTAACTGCATTCTTTCAAACTGAACGTTTAGCTTTTTATCGTAATTTGTGTTGTCTTGTCAAACAAGTCGATTATTTGTTGACTGTCTCCTCACTGCGTACGAAACTGGTTTAAGTAGTGTTGAAAATGTATATTTTAAATTTTTTTCGTTGGCTTGTTTAGTTTGTAGTTATTACCTTATCACACTGGCTCAGCTACAGCTAAAAGTGAAAGTGCTTTGGTCAGATATTATTTTTAAATTATTTTATAACTAATTGCAGTTTGGACCCTTTACGTTTGGTTAAAGTAAAATCGTACTACATACAATATGTGAAAGGTTAGACTGATACTGGACTGCTCACCCTGGTAAAATTGTTTTATAGCTTTCATAAAGTTGTATAAGATAACGTGTTTATGTTTTTTCTGCTATAACTGACTTGAGTGTGATTTCTGATTTGTTTTCCTTGATTTATTATTATTTTTTCTCTTTTCAGAAATGCCAAATTTAAAGCTGATATCTGCAACTGACACACAGTATTCAGCAGAAGTCCTGAAGGCCCTGAATGACCAGCGAAATCATGGATTGTTTTGCGACATCACAATCATCATACAGGACAAGAAATTCAGGGCTCATAAGACGGTCCTGTCCGCCTCCAGTACGTACTTTTACCAGCTCTTCGCGGTTGCCGGACAAGTGATCGAGCTGAACTTCATCAGACCAGAAATCTTTGAGCAGATTCTCAACTACATCTACAGCTCCAGAATTGTCCGCGTTCGCTCCGACATGGTCGAGGAGCTTATAAACGCCGGACAAATACTGGGAGTGAAGTTCATCGCCAACCTGGCTTTACCTCTGTCCCAGGTGAAAGGCATTTCTGGCTTGTCTAAAGAGCCGGAGCAGAAAAGTGATACGGCTTCAGAGAATATGCCGGTCATCACGGAGTCCTTCTCCATTTCTGCGGAGGAATTCAACCAGCCGAGCAAACCTGCGGGAAACGAGGATGACTCGGACGACGTTGTGTTCGTGTCGCAGACAGAGGCTCAAACCAAGACGGCCAACCCAAAGGTCAGCTCTGAGGTCATCGATCTGGATGAGATCGAATCGGAAAGTGTGGAACCAAAACAGAGCGTCAAGTTAAATAATGGTGTTGGCGTACACGAAAAACCAGCTACCACCCTGCAGAAGATGAGCTCTGCGACGCTTCCCAGCCAGCCGGTGAAGAGCCCTCTTCGCAGTCCCGACAGCAGCTCCAACGTCTCGTCTCCCCCTGCCTCAGCCTCCACAGAAAGTGTCCCTTCAGCCCAGGYCTCTTCAAACAGCCTCCCCTCTGGGCCGCCCAACGCCCCTCTCCCCTCTGAAAACAGGGACGTGTTGGGAGTCCAAAAGAAGCAAATCACCACTTCAACCCAACAAGGGCATTCAAAGATAAGACTTTTAGATGTTTCCGAAGCCTCGGCACTGAAATCCAACACCGACGGGCAAACAGTGAATACACCCACAGAACTAGATTCTTTCTCATCAGGCTGTAAAGTGTACACGAATATCGGAGAAGATACTTTTGACGTTGTCCCACTTAAAGAGGATCCGGGGGAAGGAGGCTCTAAAGCTGGTAAAGGGAAGAGATCGTTCATGGCGACACTCTTGAAAGCCTCTGCTAACCCACCTCAGTCAGAAAACGTAGGACCGAACAGGAAGAGGAAAAAAGCAGAGCTCGAGGACCACTACGAGCTGGACATGGATGGGAAGACCTTCTTCGTTTGCATCATATGCAAGCGTCCCTACGTGTGTATGACGAGTCTGCGTCGTCACTTCAACACGCACTCGTGGGAGAAGAAGTACCCGTGCCGCTACTGCGACAAGGTCTTTGCCCTGGCTGAGTACAGAACTAAACACGAAACCATCCACACCGGCGAGAGGAGGTACCAGTGCCTGCTGTGCAACGAAATGTTCCTGAACTACCAGGCGCTCTCCACGCACTGCAAGTCGGTCCACAATCAGGATCCGATGGGGAGGAAGGAGAAGGACGACGGCGAGAACAACCTGTACCGCCTGCTGCCGGGCAAAGTGGGGCATAAAAGGATGAACACGTGGGAGACGGAGCCCCTCTTACCCCAGGACGGCGACGTGCCTCACGTGAACACAGGCGACGAGGCCGTCCTCTCGGCCACCCAGAGGTTGGAGTGGGACAGCATGTTTGGGCCCAACGCTCACGTGCAGCCGGACACCGCGGCGCCACTGGTGCCGACGGTGAACTCTCCTCCACAGGGACCCTCAGAGTTCGAGTACATCACACCAGAAACTTATTAAGAAGCTCTAACCAATCCTCGGTAACTGTGCCTTTTTTCTTTTATTTTTTGTTTCAATTTCATTTTAACTTTTATCTCAACAATCATTTGGAACGAATAAATATTTGAAAGGTTTGCCGTATTGTGAAAGAAAATAACAGTCCCGACGTGTAAAAATGCACAAAAAGTATACATTAGGTGTGTTTAAAAAAAAAGCAACACGTTTGTCGCTTCCGATTTAAAAGTCAAAGCAAACACGTAGCGTCAAATTCTTAAAGTACTAAAAACTGAGTTTGAATTTATTACAATGAAATTAGTGGTAAACCTTTGTAATCGTAACTTCACTCAAGACTTTGGGCGGGGGGGGGTTAACGAAAAAGTTCTGAGCTGCCCCAACTGTTTCACTCAGAAATGTTAACCAACATTTAAATCAGCCATTTTTTTTTAATCATTTACTCACTTATTCATTGTAAAAAAGAGATTAAGTTAAACTCAATTGTTTTGATAAAATAGATTTATCTGACTCGTGTTGAAGATGATATATTTCAGTGAGCGAGTCGAAGCTCTTATATATTCAGGCTAACTTTCATAAAGGTTTGAACAGATGTTTTGGGGGCAAATTCTGATGCAGATATCAGAAACATAAAGCCGGTGCGATGAAACGCATCGTCGAAATCACGTTTAACATTCAGGCCCTTAACCCTGTTAAATACATGAAACCGCCGTTAACCAAGTTTATCATGGGTTACTTCTTGGTTTCTGTCCTGTATGCATACAGCAGGTAAAATAAGTATTGAACACGACAACATTTTTCTCAGTAAATATATTATTAGAGGTGCTAATGACATGAAATTTTCACCAGATGTCGGTAACAACCCAAGTGATCCATACATACATCTTTAGTTCTTTCCATAGATTTTCTGTTGGATTCAGGTCAGGTGATTGGCTGGGCCATTCCAGCAGCTTTAGTTTCTTTCTCTGAAACCAACAGAGTTTCCTTGGCTTTGTGTTTGGGCTCATTGTCTTGCTGAAATGTCCAGCCACGTTTCATCTTCATCATCCTGGTAGATGGAAGCAGATTTTTATCAAGAATGTCTCTGTACATTTTTCCACTCATCCTTCCTTCAATTATTTGAAGTTTGCCAGTACCATGTGCTGAAAAACAGCCCCACACCATGATGTTCCCACCTTCAAACTTCACTGTTGGTATGGTGTTTTTGGGCTGATGTGCAGTGCCATTTGACCTCCAAACATGATGTGTATTCTGGCATCCAAACAGTTCAATGTTGGTCTCATCTGACCAGACTATATTCTCCCAGTATTACACAGGCTTGTCTAAATGTTGTGCAGCAAACTTTAAAGGAGCTTCAACATGCTGTTTCTTCAGCAGTGGAGTCTTGCGTGGTGAGCGTGCATACAGGCCATGGTGGTTCAGTGCATTACTTATTGTTTTCTGTGAAACAATCGTACCTGCTAATTCCAGGTCTTTCTGAAGCTCTCCACAAGTGGTCCTTGGCTCTTGGACAACTCTTCTGATAATTCTTTTCACTCCTCTGTCAGAAATCTTGTGAGGAGCACCTGGTCATGGTCGGTTTATGGTGAAATAATGTTCTTTCCACTTCTGAATTATGGCCCCAACAGTGCTCACTGGAACCTTCAGAAGTTTAGACATTCTTCTGTAACCGATGCCATCATTATGCTTTGCAACAATAAGGTTGTGAAGGTCTTGAGAGAGCTCTTTACTTTTACCCATCATCAGATGTTCTTGTGTGATACCTGGCCATCATCTGGGACTGAACCAGCTGATATTAACTTGCACTGACAAGGGGCAGGCTTGCTTTCTAATTACTGAGAGAGTTCAGCTGGTGTCTTGGCTTTCCATGCCTTTTTACACCTCCCTTTCTTCATGTGTTCAATACTTTTTCCCTGTGCCATTCCACATTATTACAAATAACTTCATTTCTGGACATTTATGGTTTGATTTCTTTGTATGTATGGATCACTTGKGTTGTTACCGACATCTGGTGAAAATTTCATGTCATTAGCACCTCTAGTAATATATTTACTGAGAAAAATGGTGACGTGTTCAATACTTATTTTACCTGCTGTATTACTGTGATTGTTTTTCAACAAAACTATGAGATATAAATTATTAAATGCAGCAGAATTGCTCTCGTCAACTCAGTACTCCATTTTTTGTTTTGTTAGATGTTAAATCAGATGTGGAACTGATAACTCTGTTTCCTTTTTCTTTTTCTTTAGTGAATACTGATTATGATCTAAAATATATATTTTTTTCATCACATGCTTGTGGTCACATCTGGTTCATATAGCAGAAAAGTTGTACGTTTAATACTTTTCTGAGTAGGTTCAGAATTTTTTTAATGTAATTCATTAAGTAAGCTAGAAGTTTAGCGTACAATTGTAAATTTAGGATTATATTAACTCAGGATAATTAGTGTTTGTATTTAGCGTCAAAACAGGACCAGTTTGTCAGAATCTGAAATAATGTTGATAAATGTTAAAAATAACACAAATGAAGTTTGTGTCATGTTATCAGATTAAATTTTACAGTTTTTTTTTCAATAAAATATTCCAAAAAATGTAATAAACTGTTTATAATTGCTTCATTTCCGTTTGTAGTTTAGCAGCAAACCAAAAGATTTTTTGATTTTTTTAATGCTTTATTTTAAAGGTTTGCACAATATTCTGACAAACTTTTGCATTTGATGGTGTTGTGCAAAAAAAAAAAAAATCAAAAGAAAAGTGTCCTTGTTGCAGGAAGGGTGTTTTTATTTCTCTCAGCACAGCACTGTTTCGTCCTGTCTTTAAATCAGTGTGTTACGCTCAGGCTTGGCCAGTGCTGATCAGTAAAAAAAAATGGAAATAAATAAGTCAACCTTTAAATGTAACACAAAGCATCAGGCATCATATTTACCAATTTAATGGAAATCCATCTTTTTTTTTTAATTTACACTCTGTCAAAATTTTAAACATCAAAGGCTCGTCTGTCATGGTGGGTTTCATCCCCTGGAAAGTGATCAGTGGAGAGCTGACAACCACCCCCACAACGTAAGAAACAACACACAACATGAGTCAAAACAGCAGAAAGTAAAAAGAAGCTAACAGCTCCTGAGTGTGGTGCTGAAGTTATAATCAGCAGTGACTAATTAGAGTTTTCATAGATATTAAAGAGATTTTACARTTTTATTTTCTATTTCCTTCTATGTGTCTCAGTTTACAGTCATTTCACAGCTGACAAACACGTCTACCAGCTTTTCACTTTTCAATAAGTGGCATTTAAAGTCGACTACATCGCAGTAACTACTGTTGGTACAAAGGTTTTCTGTTTTTTTTTTTTTTTTAGACAGCTACTGCTCTAACCTCAGAAGGAATAATAAATACCATGACTTGTTTATACCTTAGCTCTACTGTGGTAATTGTATAACATACTGCTGTACAACATTACAGCTATTTGTGTGACTGTTAGCTGCTGATTTAACAGTTGATTGGAGGTAAACTCTAAAGTTTAGGCTTAGCTGAGATGATTCAGTGAAAATAGGGCTGGGCGATCTGTCTGAAAAATTTATCAGGATATAAAAGCGTTTCACATCAGTCGATATCGATAAGCGTTCACGCTGTTGAGATCAAATCTTCCACCGCATGTTTTTCAGCACGTACCTCATTCTGCAGTTTTCATGCTATTTCAACAATTAAGACGTCTACATGTTCAGATCCTTTAGGAAATTACAGCCATGACTTCTTTCTATTTATACGTTTTGAAATGTTCAGCCTTTTCAGACATTTTTTTCTTATTTAAATGAATGAAGCTGTTTTAATATTTAAAACATTTATAAATATTTATTGTACTTTTTACCTTTTTGTTCTGGTTCTGCCTTTTTTAACTCCTTTGTTCTAATTTGAGCTTCTGCTTCTATTTTACTGATTGCAGTTTTTTTTTTCTTTTTTTTGTAGCTATCTTTGTCATTTTCTGCTATTCTTCTGATTTAAGCTTTTTTTGTGCTTTAAGCTTTTATGCTACTTTCAAGTACTTCCTGCTAATTTCAATTGTTTTGTGTTTTAGCTACTTTTTAGCTAATGTCCGCTTTTTTATGCTATTCCTACTTTTGTGATAATTTCAGCTTCTTACTGCTTACTTCAGCAAACGTGCTCTTTATTCTTCGTRCTAATTTTAGCTGCTTTTTAAACTTATTTTTAGGCTAGTTTCAGCTTTTTTTGCTATTTAGAAAAAAAATCTTTCAGTGATGAGCACTCACACTGATTTTTTTTTTTACAGGAAATGTAAATTCTCTTGTTATTGACTGATTTTTTATTTTTTTTATTTTTTTACCTATGTAAAATAAGGACCAGGAGAAAAAAGGCTGATTAATGCTGCCAAACTGGTGACTTTCCTTTTATCCACAACTTCCTCTTGAACTGTTGTCTTGTTTTCTGCCCTTCCACGTCATTCCTTTTTATTTTTAAGCCGTTATGAGGCGACACATGAAACTGCTACATGTTACTCAGCAGGTTGTTGCTAGCTGACCAAAGAGTGAGCRAGTTGATGCCAACAACCTTGCTTAGCTGGGCCGCGAGAGGTCGAGCAGCTAAAGCCTTTCCTCTGCCTGCGTCTCCCAGAATGCCGTGCAATATTTGTATTTTCTATTAATACTGATCRCATGTTTATTGCAATATTTCATTGTTTTTAATCGCCCAGCCCTCGGTGAAAACACCGGAGCTTTTATCTAACATCAGGCAGGACTGGTGAGTCTAAGAGTTCACATATTCACAGTGAGGAAAGTGTCTTCTGTTCCACTTGGGAACATTTACAGTTTTTGTTAACGACAGGTGAACCTAAAGTCTGCGCAGGAGGGKAGTTTGTGAACCGAACAGAGTGATGCATTAAGGCAGGTAGATGTGTAAACAGTCCCGACACGGAGCAGGTCGTGTCTCTCCTGATGACATCGTTCACACACACAGCAGACAGGAGTGAGCGCGACGCCCAGGAAACACTCCAAGCTGCCCTGCCCCGTAGCCATCCTCTTCCTCACCTACTTTTCTTCGACGCCGTTCCGAACGATTGTGAAGGAGAGACCGAGYGCGCCGCTCCAGCGCCTCGCAACGCCCGAACACGTCCCAGGTGTTTGCTTGTTTCTTACGGGCTGTACGGCGGGGGCTTCTCATCTGGGTGCTCGTGAGGAGGGGAGTAGCGAGGAGGGATCATCGTGGGCCAAAGGTGACTGGCTCCTGACTGGGAGTCATCTGACAAGCCTGAGGAATCAGGGAACATGTAGGAGCCCTGCAGGAAACATTAAAACACTGCTTAAAGTAGCTGCTGCTAATAAAATATTAAAAGCAGACAGTTTGGTTTTATTTAAACATATTGAAATGATTTTATTCTGCTCGAGGCATAGGCAGTATAGGCGAATGCTAAGGGCGCCGTCCATCTAGGGCAGGGGTCTGCAACCTACGGTTCTGGGGCCACATGTGGCTCCTTGGTCCCTCTGCAGTGGCTTTTTGAAAATGTGACCAAATATAACAGAATATTTTGTTTTGTTTTGTTTTATACCCACAACAGAAATCAATTTGTATACTAATACAAAAAGTAAAATGTTAGCTCATGCTAGCCTGTTGTTTACTTAAATATTCTTATTTCTCTCTATGATCTTTCTCTCAAATCCATCAGAATTACCTTTAAATATTTTTGAAGACTGCATAATAAAAATTGGGGAAAAAATGCCTGAATAATTCAGTTGTACTAGTTTTTATGAAATTCAGTATAAACTATATTCGGTTTTTCTTGTTTAAATGAATATGGTCTTTTTATTTCGCCTGATGTGTATAATAAAAAAATTCATATAATATTAATACGATTTTTTTTAGTTTTATAATGTCTCCTCCACTGACCGTAAATGTTCCTGAAAAGGTCTCGAAAAGGCCCACAGACCACCACTTGCTAATCACAGTTGTAGCTTGTTTTGCAGCTCTGGACACATTTTATTCGTGCGACTAGGAGCACAAATGGCTCTTTTGATCGTAAAGGTTGCAGACCCCAGATCTAGGGGGTGGCACAAATGTAGGACAAAAAAAATTTTCAAACTTTTTATCAGAGCGTTGTTGATTTAGTCTGGAGAATCAYTGGTTACTCAGGTTTATGAAGGTAACTTKTTCWGTTTGTTCCTCGGCTGGTTTGAGATTATATGGTGTAGAGGATATTTCATGACGGTCAAGACTAACAACTGGTGCTCCGTGTGTAAATAGAAAACAAAATAAGGATAATGGAAGTTTCAGTTATGATCTTAGATAAAGTTCAGGTTAAAGTCTGGTTTTCAGTATTCTACCTTCGTAAAACAGATTGTATGCTTTTCTTTTTTAATTAAACCCAAGAATTTCATAAAATGCTCTTCAAATGCTGTAAAATGCAGCATTCTGAGTAGATCTTTTGCAATATTTTCTGGGAGAGTACAACCCTGGATCCCCCTAGAACTGCTTCACTCCACAGCTGCTGGTTAACATGAACAGGTGTTCCTCATTACTGTCAGCAGATGTTGGCAGGTATTTCTGGTATTCTTCAAATGAATTATATTAGATTTTAACTGGATAACCCGGTTAGACAAAACAGACAAAACTATTTAACTTGGTATGTGCATTTATGTAAATTGGCAGTGAAATTTAGTAAATTGCACAARGGGCGTTTCCTGAAATCGTACCTAGGGCTGGCCCTGGTTCTATTGACATTTTACGGTAAAAGCTAGAGAACTACACAAAATGACCGCAACCCCGTTGCACTAAATAACATTTATATTCCAGAATAAGTCAGACCAAGTCAACCGGCTCAGCTGTTGATGGAAACCCGAACACAATCCTGTAAATAACTAAATCAGTCCCTTTTGTGCGCAACACGTAGCATAAAAGTAACAAACCTACAAATACAATTATTTGCCATTGCTTCACATTAAACCTGAGCTAGCTTTATAGTTCTGTTGACTCTGCACCTGCAGGTCGTAGGCGGTGTAAGGCGGCAGGCAGGGGGCAGCGTTGTGGTACGAGTTGAGGGAAGTGCTGGGTGGAGGGGGCTCTGAGCGGACCGGAGCGACTACAGCCTCTGGTTCAGATGTTTCTGAGGCCGGAGAGGGTATCTAAAAACAATAACAAACATTTACCTAAAAAAATCTTATTTAAAATGATGTTAGTATGCAGAGTTGTGCAAATCACGACTGGTAAAAACTCCATTCTGTAATTGTTAAGGGGACGTACCATGTCTTTAAAGCCCCCCAGCACAGCAGCAGTAATGATGCCCAGAAAGAGGGCCACGATGTTGAGGATGGTGGCAGACCACAGCAGGTGGTAGAGGTGCACCACGTCCTGGCAGCTCTTTACGTCTGTGTACGCGTGGTAGCCGCCCATCAGCTCAGATCGGCTAGGCCAGTTGGTGTGAGAGAGGGAAACAGCCTAYAGTCAAGCCACAAAAGTCACTGAGAGCGTTGAGTAGCTTTTAACAGATCATCTGCGTCAGCCAACTGGGGAAAACAGTTTGGACAGGATGTGATTTATGGTGGTAGTAGGCTAAAGGTGGGGAAAAGGAGGAGGGGGCATAGGGCAAACAAAAAAAATGGTGCCCTACAACACATTTCTACAATGAAAAAAAAATCTACATCTACATGAAWAAAAAGGGAATGAACTCCATTATCAGTCTACAAAAAAGGGGGACCTACTTCCAAATCATGGATGATTTCCTAAACTTTTTCAAAACATCTTTATTCTGAAGTCCCAAAAGAGGATGTTCTCTGAAACAAAAGTCAAAAAGAAAAAAGAAACATTCTGGTTCTGATACAGTCAAAGCTGCAATGCAAATAAATCCACTCAACATAATCTAAACAATGAAAGCGAGACTGAAAAACAAAAACAAAAAAAACAAGTATCCACTGATTCAGAGCTGGGTCGGGTGTTTGTTGGTGTACTCACTTCCCGCAGTTGTAGAGTTCGCAGCAGTAGCAGGTGTTGCTCTTCACACGCAGGATGCAGTTTAAGTGTGGCGTGTGGCATTGCACCTGAAGGTCACACATTGGTACCTGCTTTAAATCGTTCAGTTGGGGTCTACAGTATATAAAGTGAAATGCTTTGGTCTGAGTTCCTCCTTATTGTAACTCCACAAGCCCCTCTTTCATCCTTTTATTCTGAGGCATGTCTCAGATCAACTCGTTTTGAGGCTGTCTCTTTTAAAGGGATCCATGATTAGTTGTAACATTAGACTTTATTTGATAAACGTATATTTTAACTATAAAATAAAAACTGTAAAAATACTGTAGGCTGTTTAGTTTTGTACATTTTTAAAAATATATTTTAACACAGATGGAGCCATTTTATTTACACACAAAGCATTCTGGGTAAATGATGACGTGGATAGGTCATCGGTGTGAGTGAGCTATATCCACCCTGAAGGTTAATCTTGGACAATATCTGAYGATCGACTCTTTTAAATGAAACCAGAGAGCGTTGACAGAGAGGAGAAGGTAGAAATGACTCAGCCTGGAACTGAAAATATGGATGGAGGACAACAGAGCTGCTTCATGGAAGAACCTCAGCTTAGTCTGTTAGCGCCAAAAATATATTGCCTTATATGTATTAGCTCGGCGCTAGCATGACAAACAAGCTAAACTGAGGTCCTCCATCCATATTTTCAGTTGCAGGCTGAGTCATTTCTACCTTCTCCTCTCTGTCAACGCTCTCTGGTTTCATTTAAAAGAGTCGATCATCAGATATTGTCCAAGATTAACCTTCAGGGTGGATATAGCTCGCTAGCAGCCTCGCACCGAGGACCTATCCACATCACCATTTACCCAGAATGCTTTGCCTGTAAATAAAATGGCCACGTCCGTGTAATATATATTTAAACTTTTAGTTTAAAAATGATAAAAACTGAACAGCCTACAGTATTTTTACAGTCTTTATTTTAGTTAAAATATATGTTTATTAAATAAAGTCTAATGTTACAACTAATCTTGGATCCCTTTAAACCCAAAAGAGGCACTACATACCCCGCCCCCCTCCAGCTTCCAGAATGGTCCACTCTTTTTATTCATTTATTAAGGCAAGAAGAAAAATCTATACACAATAAAAAAAATTAATGAAATGAAAGGAAGCAGAGGGGCATTTTATAACATTTGCCTCTTTTTTTCCCTCAAACAAATTGAAATAATACTAAACTTTGAAACATATACTGCATCAGGTCCATCATTTGAACAACAGTTTATGTCAATACATACCACAGAACATCATATTTTTTCAATAAACTAGCTTTACAATCTTTTTAAACAAATAGATTTTTCTAGAAGTTTTAATCATCATCAAGATTATTCCATAAACTTATGCCTTGAATTGCAGCAGAGTTCCTTTAGGCTAATTTAAAATATAAGTATTTAAAAAAAATCTCTATTCCTTTAAGATTATATTGACTCTCTCTTTGAAAAACAAATAAATGAATATTTACAGGTAATATAGTTTTATGAGTATTTTACATAAATTGTAAGCTAATATAATCTACCAAATCATAATTTTTTTTATTTTTGGATGAAAAAACAACCAAAACAGAATATAAAGATATCTACTCAGCAACAGGACAGTCTTTTCTGCACTCCTAGAGACTCACAACAAAATGCATTTATTGGTAAAAACGTGGATTTTGCAAGATATGTCCCCTTTAAAGTACATAAAAAGAGTGAAATATATATATATTCAAGTTTTCTTACGTCTTGTTCAGATGAAGTCTCACTGGAGTGATAGCTACAGCGACCCGCATACAGAGGCCTGAGGTCCTGCAGGAGAACAAAGATTATTAAATCTCTCTGCACAGACACAGACTGAATAATGTTACAGCGTAAACCTTTAAAGGAAAGAAAAAGCAATGAAAGGCCTTTATTTCCACACATCTGGGACTGATGTAATTTAATCAACTGCACACTTTCATAAGAAGTTTTACTGTTTCGATCGCTCAGACCTTCAGACCCATTCTTTTACTTAACGTGATGCTGATCTGCTTAAATAAACAAGTTTAATCAAAACCTGAAACTAACAGGAGAAACTGTTATTTATATCTCAGCTCAAGGGTCATTTGGTCTTCAGCTGCTGGGAAAATGCTTGTTTAGTTTTACATGTTTACTCTTGTTTTGCCTAAAGAGTAAAAAAATAACATGAGGGCATCGAGAGGTCACAGCTTATTATATTTTTAAGTTTTATTATGGAAAACTCACAAGTGGAGCAGGACTTTTGGATTTTAAACTGCTGAACTTATTTTCCATTATACAAAAAAGACAAAAAATAAATCAAATAAGTTTATGTGCTTTTGTTAAACTTAATATGTGACCCCCTCACATCGAACTGAGAGTTAAGTCACCAGGTGGTCTGTGGAGAAAAATCAACAATTGCATCTTGTCAAAAATATAGTGAATAAATTATCTAAGGGTCTTTTAAATGAAATTTCTGAAACACAATTTTAAAATGAATTTTTAAGCCCTTTTTTTGCAGTAACTACAAAAAACTTGATTTTGAGCAAAAAAAACTATGTTTGTAATATCTTCCCTGCAAGCTAGCAAAGCTTTTTAGCTTTCCAGCTGGTAAATCTTAAAACCAAATATTGTTTGAGGTTTCCTCTTTAAAATTACATCAAAATTCCTCATYAGAATAACACAAAAACAGGATTCAAATTTGACTTAATCATCATGAAAGAAATTTTGTGACTGATTAACTGAATGTTAGATCCAGTATTGTATTTTTATACTTTCTGATCATTGCAGCCATAAGGTTTAAAACAGAGAATGAGAGTTGGTGTGTTTTATCGACGTGTTCTTTCTGTCTTCAGTTGGTTATGTTCTAACGTCTGATGTAACAGGTAGAGGAAGAAACATGCTGTGTGTTAAAGGTTGATTCGTGATTATGACAGAAGAGGGGTTTTGTTCGTTTCTGTGCAGTCTCTTCTTAGATTCAGCCTGGGACAGACACTTTGAGTTTGTTATTAGTTCAGGTTCAGATGAGGCGCCAAGGCCTGACTGTGTGACTGGAGCCAGAGACAAGAATAAAGTTTTTTAGAAGAGCTTCAACTAATTTTCTGCTACATTATTCAGACATCCATTTTTTGATCACCATTCCCTTCATTCAGTTTGATGTGATAAAGTCACATGGTTGTTAAAAATCTGTGCATCACTTAGCTAACACTAGCCCTAATCATGTTACTAATCTAAACATTTAGGTTTTAACTAATGCTACACATTATTTACATTTTAAATTAGACAAACATAAAAATTTAATCTCCAATGATGTCCAAATAATATGTCAAAACATCTAAACCTAGTCCCACTGATTATAAGATAATTCATCACATTGTCCTGAAAAGATCCAGTGGGTTTGCGGTGACAAGTCCAGTCATTTGAAATGTAATTTATTAATATGATCCACAGGCATTTTATAAGCTCTCTGTTCTTAGTGTGAGCTGAGCTCATTAAAGCTAAAATAATAACTAAAGTTAAAAATATAAAAMAATGTAGTTGATGCTTCTGATTTCCCATCATTCAACAAAACATTTGTGGAGTTTACTGAACATTTACTGTATAAAAAAGAAAATTCCCACTTTCTATTCTCCTGAAATCATTAGCAAATAAAACCCTGCTAATGATCATCTCTCTTTTCATCCTAATTGTTTTAACGGTGCATTAGTGGTTCAGTGGTGTTTCCTTCTTTGCATCGTGGAGGATAATTTCCTTTTGTTGCTAAATTTATTTGTCCCACTCAAACGGGTGCAGGGGTTATCCGATCGGACAAAGCCACTCTAGGATTTCACTGACTATTAACTATTGCACCACTCTTCATGGCACGAGAGCTTTTTGTTGCTATGACRGTTATAATCATCTGATTAAAAAAACTCACAATGTGCCTCGCTGCAAAAACTCCATCCACGATCGCGCAGCAGAAAGCAGCCACCACTCCAAAACTGATGAAGACAATAGATGCCACTAACTATGAGGGGAGAAAAAACAGAAAAGTGTCAGATTTGTGAGTATAATTATAATAAATGTGCACCACTTCTGTTTAAAAGGCAGTTGAGCTCAAGACATTTAGACTCCCTAGACAAACAACGCTAACATGTAGAAATGTGTAGAAATGAATGTGATGTGAGGAGCTGGCAGAAACTTTACTGTTTACTTTAGTTGTCTAAACTGTCACAAAGGTTCTCAAATTGTCACAGTCGCTGCAACGCTGAATGCATCACTGCTCACTAATGCAACTTTTTTTTTCTCATCAGGGAAAGACGGCGAGTATTTGGTTACACCAAACCTGTCTGCAGACCCCAAAAGGGAAGTGACTCRAGTGACGCCACTAATCAAAGAGCTGGTGGGTAAAATGGATGAGCTATAGGATGGCTACTGTCAGTCCAGAATTTTATTTTTTAATTGAGCTATACTGTATGGTCCTACTTATGGAGTCCGTCCAGTGACAGGGTTTAAAAAAAAGAGTGGCCATGAGATAATAACTTGTGGCCATGAGATAGTTAATAGATGGCCATTAGATAATAACTTGTGGCCATGAGATAGTTAATACATGGCCATTAGATAATAACTTGTGGCCAAGAGACAATAACCTCTAGCCAGTAGATGGTTGATGCATGGCCAAGAAATAATGCATGATCACTAGATAACTTGTGGCCACAAAATATGCAATGTGTTGCCACAACATAGTAACTTGTGGCCATGAGATAGTTAGTACATGACCATAAGATAATAACTTGTGGCCCTGAGTCAATAACTTGTGACTCCAAGATAACTTGTGGCCATGAGATAATAACTTGAGACTACAAGATAACAACTTGTGGACATGAATAATAACTTGTGGCCACGAGACAATAACCTCAAGCCACTAGATGGTTGATGCATGGCCTAGAGATAATTCATAATCACTAGATAACTTGTGGCCACAAAATACACAATGCATGGCCACAACATAGTAACTTGGGGCCATGGGATAGTTAATACATGACCATAAGATAACAATTTGTGGCCACAATACAATAACTTGGGACTACAAGATAATAACTTGTGGCCATGAGACAATAACTTGTAGCCACTAGATGGTTAATATGTGACCAAGAGATAATGCGTAATGCACAAGATAATAACTAGTGACCACTAGATACATAATGCATGCCACAACATAACTTGTGGCAAGGAGATAAAATCTTGGGGCCACTAGATAGTTAATGTATGGCCAAAAGAAAACTGGTGGCCTTGAGATGATAACTTGTGGCCACTAGATGGTAAATGTGTGGCCATGAGATAATGAGTGATCCTGAGATAATAACTTGTGGCCACTAGGTAGGTAATGCATGGCCACAAAATAACTTGTGGCCTCGAGAGTTAATGCAAGTCTTTGAACTGTTTATTCTCTACATCTGTTAAACTGGTTATTTATTATTTAAAGTTTCTTAAATATTCTTAGTTTTGTGTTTGCCTGTTTTTTGTGTAAGTGTGTTTATTATTATTATTATTATTCATTAGTCTTGTACTGTAGAACAGACACTCAAAGACTTTTCATGCATTATTCATTCACACACTGATTAATGGTGGTAAACTACATTGTAGCCACAGCTGCCCTGGGGCACACTGACAGAGKGGGGGCCATGCACCAGCACCCCCAGCCTGTCTGACTATCACCAACAGGCAAGGAGGGTGAAGTATCTTGACCAAGGACACAATGACTGAGACGAATGAAACAGGTGATCAAACCAGCAACCCACAGATCACAGGATGACTCCTCTGACCACTCAGCCACAGCTGCCTGATATTTCACTGTATTTATTTCAATTTTTCACCCCAGAGATTAAATTTAACCTGTAAAATCAGTCAAATCTGGCACATTTACATGCCAGAATAAAATCTCAACACTAATGAATAGGTATAAATAATTTTTAAATAAAAAACAAACAATAAATAATAATTGATTATCATAAATACTTTACTAAACTTTAATTCTGCAGATGAGTCATTATCAAATGTCCACAGGATTTGTTTAAAGTGAAACAAATAGTTAATTATTAGCAAACTAACATTTTCACTTCTACTCTCTTCACTGAGTGTTACGTGTGTCTTAGTAAATACTATTATATTTACTAAGTTGAAAATAAATCAAATGTTCATTCAAGTAATTGTAGGACTGAGTTCTGAGTTTATTTATATTTGTTTTTCTGGAGAGGACACRGTAAATAATCCAGCTGTAAATACTGTCATCACAGTTTGTGTCACATGTAAAAACGTTTTACTACGATGTAATGTAATGCAACACAGCTCCGTCTGCAGTGTGTCAAACGCTGACTGGAATGTTATGGGAGAAAGGTGTCACGACATGAACCCATTCTTCAGCTCTGACAGACCCAACCCAGAACCACCCCCACCTGCTCCGCTCATCTGCAGTTTCCTTCCCCCTCGGTTTAGCGCAGACATCTGTCCTCCTCCTCTTACAGCCCGTTTCTATTCCTGGCAGCACCAACCCCAACAGCCCCACAAAGTCCAGGGTCCTCGCTCCAATGCACAACTTCTGCTGGGTGTGCTGCTTGTTGTCACGTTAACATAATCAACTAGTCCAAACAAAACCGAGGCCTACATGCCGTTTAATCTTGTGACAACGAACATGAAAATAAACATAAATAAAATAAATGTTCTTACCATTTGACGCTTGTTCTCTATCAAATGAGCACCAATAATTCCCAGAAAGGAACCAAAGCCCAGCTGGAAAGAACAAAACGAACATTTGAAGGTTTCATGATTATAAACTTAGCACAAAACGTAAGGAAATTTGTGTTTGGTGGATTATTTCTTTGTTGTAACAATGCTTCTTGGCAATAACCCTTATATTGTTGGAAAGCCCGTTAATTTCCYTTTTAAATGGTGCCACATTTGTAAGGAACATGCATTTGTGGGATGAGCTGTAGAGCTAAGTATGTGGGTTGCGCACATRAAATTTTCATCAAGCTTATTTTATTGTTGTTTTAAGCTTCTGGTACCTCCAGGTGCTGCCAATCAGGCGCCCAGTATAAGATTTATTGCCAAGAAGCATTGTTACAACAAATAAATAATCTACAAAACATAAATGTCCTTACTTTGTGTGCCACATATATGTCATCTCAACAYTGAGTCTGAATAATTAAGATGCAGAGTGGCCTCTAAAAGAAGGTGAAATGCTAAAAGTGGGAGAGTGTGAGGRAAGTAGCTTTATAGATTTAGATACTGGGCATCAGGGACTTTATTAATGAGGTTTATAAGAGTGGAAAAATTAGCAGAGTAGCAAGAAACACTTTTACCTCTCAGCAGATCGGTTTGCTGTCACTTTGTATGAATTGTGACAGCAAACAGGCCTGCTGTGAGTGTGTGTGTGTGTGTGTGTGTGTTGCTGCTGCTGCTTACGGGTGTGAATTAAAGTGCCTGTGACCTGCATATCCTTCAGATACAAAAATTCAAAGAAAACATTTTAATATATTTAATAAACTTGACATAATACTCACGATTGTACCCATTTTATCACATAACCAGCATATTTTCTTTTGGCCTYAGCTCAGCCAAAGTGAAACAGGAAGTGACATCAAAGGGGAACTCTTTAATAAAATGAACTTCCTGGACTTTCTTTACTGAAACATTATTATTTAAGCTCTGACTCTTCTTCTTCTCTGATGGTGACTCAAACTATTCTAAAGAAACATCAGTCTCCTCTACAGTCTGTTATTAGCCGTACTGTTTATGCAGAGACATTCCCCTTTGTCATCACTTCCTGTTATTTCACATGCAAATATCTGAACAACTGTTCTTCTTAGCAGCGTGAAWTTTTTTTTATTTTTTTGTAAAAGGTTATCTTTCCAAAAACCCATTCATATTTATTATTACAAAACGTTGATGCCACAGGCCCTTTAACACTCACAATGGCTCCAGGGTAATAGCCTCCAACCGTGATGTTCTGAGTCCTGGTGGTCGCCGCCAGGCCGAAGATGAGGATGAGCACAGACACAATGAGCAGCATCGCCGTCACGATGATGGATTTCCTCTTTCTTCTCTTAAAGGAACCTGAAGGTTCCACAAATAGAAAAAAAAAACAGCAACACTCAGTGAGATCAGTGCACTGATCTAATTAAAACCTACTAGCAGAGAGCCCATAAGCATTGTTGTTGTGGWAAGTCACTAAAGAGATTTGAGACAAAACTGCCATTGATCCGGCTCTGTCACTTTTACCATTAATGACTAATTCTGTTGAAGCTGCTTAGAGGAAGTTATAAAAACGGTCTGCTGCTGCAAAGATGCCACAAATGATCCTGTGAGTATTTTTCCCAGACTTGCTTTCTGTCAACAAAATAATGAGAAAAACTCTCAGGATGACAGGATTACAATTTGATAACCAAACAACTTAAATTAAATCAAATCAAATCTCATTTAAATTTAGCTTACAAATGAAGAATAAACAAAAGACGTGTCCTGTAATCTAAGTTAACTCTTTATCTCATGTTTTGTTTTAGCAGCGGTTCCATCTGTGTCGCCTCGCGGTCCAGAACATCCAATCTCCTCCATCAATCTGATTATTTCCTGTTTTATGGTTGTTGTTGTTGTTGTTGTTTTCCATCAATCTTTGACTAAACAGATCAGCCAAATCTCCACTTCAATCTGTTTCAGTACTTTGTAAACATGTGCAGAACACAGATTGACTGCTGCTGACTATTGAAGCAAAAATTTGGAGATCAACAAGCTTTCCTTCGGTTAACACAGGGTTTCTGTGTCAAAATGGTGACAAATGAAGGACTCTGTGAGACAAGTGATTCAGAAATATGAGATCGCAGAGCTGATGGTTAGATTCCAACAGCTACACTAAACAACACATCTGCGTTACTGTTTGTTAATATCACAAACCTCAAAACTCTATAAAATAAAGTTGTAAATAAGTTGAAGTGGGAATCCAAGAACATAGGTGTCAGTTTTTCTATGGGGACATTTTTGTAAAAATAGTTAAACATTTAAAATATCAAAAGCAGTGGTGGATCTAGGATTTTTTTTGAGTAAGGGGCCATCAAGGGGTCACAATATTCATAGAGGGGCCAAGTCTTTGTTCAGCATCCTTTCACACAAATCCCCAGTTTTGGTAAGGTGTTTACATTTAACCAGTCATACATGTTCAAACACTTGTAATGTGTTTTTTTTAAATAGAGTACCACTTTACAATAAGGCTCCCTTATAGATGGCTTTTAAAGAGTTTATAG